GGGTGTGGTCTGACATTGCTTTCTGTCACACACACACACACACACACACACACACACACACACACACACGGCCTAGGCTGATTATCCATCTATCTTCGGATACCAAGTATAAACAAGTTTCCCTGCTTGACAGCTCTCCTTGCAGACTTTCAGACACCATTCAATGTTGGGAGATTTCAACACATCTTCAGCAATAGCAAGATTTCAAGGGCAAGAGCAGCAGCACAGAACACATAGTTAAACTGTAGGAGAACTTGTGTATCACTGTGGTGGTCTGAATGAGAATGGCCCCCACAGGCTCACACAGTTTCATGCTTAGTAGCCAGCTGGATAAACAATTTGGAAGGATTAGGAGGTATGGCCTTGTTAGAGGAGGTATATCACTGGGAGTAGGCCCAAAGGTTTCAAAAGTTCTCGGTGGACCCAATGTCACTCTTTCTGACTGCTACCTGTGAATTCTGATGTAGCTCTCAGCTATTTCTCCAGCACTATGCCACCCCAAGTCTGTCATGCTCCTCACCATGATCATAATATATCAAACTTCTGAAACTGTAAACAAGCCCCCAAATTAAATGTTTTTTTCTTTAAGAGTTGCCTTGGTCATGTGTCTCTTCACAGCAATAGAACACTAAGACAATCACAAAATGGGGCTCAAGCCAGGGCTTTATAGCTCCGGAACTGAGAGAAATGTCTTTTGTTCACATTAAACCTTTTGTTTACAAAACTTCTCATTTAAAATCTTGAAAATACATGAAATAGTGGCTGGAGACACAGCTCAGTGGTTAAGAGCACAAGTTGTTTTGCTTCCAAAAGATCTGGGTTTGATTCCCAGCACCCACATGGAAGCTCCCAACCATATGCAACTCCTCTTCTACTTTCTGTGGGCACCTGGCACCTGCATGGTACACAGACATATATGCAGACAAAACACTCAGAGTCATTAAATTAAATAAATATTGCTTTAAAAAATAAAATAAAATACATGGAAATGATAGACATTGCCTTCCAAAATACCCTGCAAGATGATTAAGAAATTTTAATTTACTATGAGGGCTGTCCCCTGAAATTTTTTTCTATACAATTTATATTAGGTAGTAGAGAGATATACTTATTTGAAGACTGTATCATTAATAAAACTCTGGCTTAACTACCTATAGTTAGTGTATGCTAAAAACTCAAGTTGGAAGCTAGGCATGATGGCACACACCTTTAATCCCAGCATTTGGGAAGAGGCAAGTGATCTCTACGTTTGAGGCCAGCCTGGTCTACAGAGTGAGTTCCAGGACAGGCAGAAATACACAGAAACCCTATTTGGAAACAAACAGAAAAACAAATATCAAGTTGTTTTTATTGAGGCAAAATGTAACAAATACCTCAATATACACTAAAACATGTATAACATACTTACATTCCATGCCCCACCAGGGGGGCCTTTACCAAGAACTAAGTGGGGGATATAATGATGCTGTTCCAATTTCCAGTGAAGAATGGATGGGTAGTCATACCCAAAGTCAGCATCTGGATGAAGAAGTGTGTCAAAAAGTACTGCCACTGGATTGGATGATCGGCCCTCCAGACCCTCAGACAAGTATTCCAAGTCCTGAATGAAAGAAAAAAAAAGTGAACCTGAAAAAAGCCAACACAATCACGTTAAGCCAGGACATGCCAACTCAGTAATTTCTACAGAGTGAGCCAGAGAACATGTATTGTCCTTGAGCTCATTCATAATACATTCCCTGGCAAAATAAACGTAGGCAACACTTAGATTTAAAACAAAGCTTAAAAAAAAAAAAAAAAAAAAAAAAAACCCTCATAAGATCTGAAGATACCTTTGGCATACAATGTCATGTAGGGAGTAAAGGGTAGCACTTCCCAAACCCTCACCGGCAGTGTTGCAAAGATGGCTGGTAGCCAGAGTCCACACTAAAAGGCAGCCACGGTGGATGATGGTCATAATCACAACACTGTGCAGGTAGTGGCCATGGGAGGACTTTTCCCACTCTGTGGCTAGGCAGCCTTGTCTAGGTGAGTGAGACTAAGGCCAGAGAGAGACCTGGATTCAAGAAGCATGGAGGACAGCTTGGGAATTAACACCCAAGGTTAACTTGTGGCCTACATGCAGGCACACACTCATGCTCCCACATAAACCTGCACCCATAGTCACACAAAATTTTTAAAAACTCCACTAGAAAATAACTGGGGAATTTTTGCTCAAATATTCAATATAATTTAGATAGGACATCAGAATATATTTATAAAGCTAAAATAGAAAGCATTATTTAGAACAAAGGATTTACAACAAAGAAATAATAGTCACATAAATAAAGCTAACCTTGTTGGAGCATTAAAATACTTTTTAAAGCTGATGTAACAAATAATACCTGGTCAACAATGGAGAGATGTCTTGCTTCTTCTAGTTTACTATGTAAGATTGTATTTGGATGTATTGCTTCAGATGATAAATACGGTCTGTAGCCTGATAACATATACGAAAGGCATATTCCAGAAGGTCCATTTCCTATTTAAAAAAAAAAAAAAAAGCAAAATGATGTAAGTTGATCCCCTTTATGGTTTGGCATGTATGTGCCCTCCTTACCTGTTCTCCTGTTTCAAATCAACTAAAGCCTGGTGCTCACAAATTTCTGACCTCTGCTTCTCTCTTAGTTAAGGCTTCAACTCTGTGCCATTGACTTCCAAAACTAGTTCTTGAGAAATACACAGTTTTCTTTTTTTTTTGGGCGGGGGTGAGGGGGGGGAGTTTGAGACAGAGTTTCTCTGTGTAGCTTAGGCGTCTATGCTGGCACTGGGTCTGTAGACCAGGCTGGCCTTGAACTCACAGAGATCTGCCTGCCTCTGCCTCTGCCTCCCGAGTGCTGGGATTAAAGGCATGCACACCAACACCCATGAAATACACATTTTTTAAAAAGATTTTATTTATTTTTTATGTATACAGTCTTCTGCCTGCATGCCAGCAGACAGTACCAGATCTCATTCAAGGTGGTTGGGAGCCACCATGTGGTTGCCGAGAATTGAACTCAGGACCTCTGAAAGAGCAGTCAGTGCTCTTAACCACTGAACCATCTCTCCAGCTCTGAAATACACATTTTTATAGGCTACTTCTTCATTACAACTGATGTGAACTTAGACAATGGGCAGGAGAGATGGCTCAGTAGGAAAAGGTGCTTGCCACCCCTTAGCAATCTGAATGGAACTCACAGTGGAACTCACAGTGGAAGGAGAACCAATTCTTACAAGTTGTCCTTGTACATACATTCAGGAACACACACATTAAAAAGAAAAAAAAAACTTAAAGAGACATTTTAAGAATCAAGAAAATGCATCTGCTAATAAAAAAAGTTATTTGACAAAAACCAGCATGCATCCAGGAGTTAAAAATTGTGCAACAAATTCAAAAGAGGAAAACTTCAACATTAACAACAACAAAACAGATATTCATCACCATGAAGGAAGGCCCGAAAGGAATGAAATAAAAGATATAAAGATTGGGGAGGGCCAGACAGATGGCTCAGCAGTTAAAAGCACTGCCTGCTCTTCCAAAGACCGAGTTCAATTCCCAGCAACCACATGGTGGCTCAAATCATCTGTAATGAGATTTGGTGCCCTCTTCTGGCCTGTAGGCATACATGCAGGCCAAACACTGCATACATAAATAAATAAATTAATTAATTAAAAAAAAGATTGGGGAATAGGAGGGGAAAACAACAGTTTGCCAATGACATGGTTTTCTACATAGAAAATCCCCCAAACTGACCCTTCAAAACCCAGAACAGCAATTACAGCAAGACTGTAGGACACAAGTCAATACACAAAAATCAAGTCTTTTCTTTTTTTTCTTTTGGTTTTTCAAGACAGGGTTTCTCTGTGTAGCTTTGGAGCCTATCCTGGCTCTCACTCTGGAGACCAGTCTGGCCTCGAAATCAGAGATCCGCCTGCCTCTGCCTCCCGAGTGCTGGGATTAAAGGCATGTACCACCAACACCCAGCGTATTTTCTTACACTAAAGAAAGAAGAAAATTTTGAAATAAAAGCCACACTGTTATTTACACTTACATCAAAAGAGAAGCATCTTTAGCATAATTTTAACAAAATATGTATAAGAGCTACATAAAGAAAACCACGCTGGGCATTGGTGGCGCACGCCTTTAATCCCAGCACTCGGGAGGCAGAGGCAGGCGGATCTCTGTGAGTTCCAGGCCAGCCTGGTCTCCAGAGAGAGTGCCAGGATAGACTCCAAAGCTACACAGAGAAACCCTGTCTCAAAAAAACAAAAAAAAAGAAAACCACAAAATACTGACTAGAGAAATAATAATTTTGGAAGGCCTACATAGATGAGAAGGTATTCCATGTTGGTATTCCATGTTCATAGATAGGAAGCATCAAAGTTATTGTAAGTTGTTTTTTTTTTGTTTGGTTGGTTTTTTGTTTGTTTGGTTTGGGTTTTTTTTTTTTTTGGTTTTTTTTTTGGTTTCTTTTTTGTTTTGTTTTTTCGAGACAGGGTTTCTCTGTGGCTTTGGAGGCTGTCCTAGAATTAGCTCTTGTAGACCCGGCTGGTCTCAAACTCACAGAAATCATGCGCCACCACCACCAGGCATGTAAGTTGTTTTTGACCTGTGTTATAAACTTAGTGCAAGTTCAATAAAAGTAAAAATATTTCAATATCTATTCTAAAATTATTTAGAAAGGCAAGAGGTTCAGAGTAGCCACCACACTGCTATCTTAAGACAAGTCTTGTCTGACTCTCTCAAGTTTGACTACTAGATGGAAAATATAACTAGCAGCTAATTAAATGAATATAATTTTCAAGTTTTAAAAATCTGAATTATTGAATACCTTAATTTTAATAGTTGTATATCCTATCTGTTAAGGTGATACAAAGGATAGGGTGAAATTATATTTTAGGTCATTATAAATATTACAGTGGAGCACTATCATGTCACTGCTAATAGCATGAGTTACTAATTGACAGCTGTCATTCGGTTTATAAGTATGTCTACAGGTATCTGACCAATATAAGGTTGAAATCCAATAATAAAATACACAGAATGACCTCCACAGAACTCTAATAATACTGGTCACCATTAACGGCTATTATCTGTGAAAAGCTACTGCATTCCAACATGGACTCTATCATATAAGCCAATCCTTCTCCAAAGACTTGGTAATGGTTATTTTAACATATCAAACAACTTAATACTTTAAAATTCTGTCCTTTATTATGTGCCTCCATTCACAGAAGTGTCTCCTTATATTTTTGTCCTTTTAACATATTTCTTAATTTCCACATGGTAGTTGAACATATATGAGGTAAAGTGTGGCATTTTAATGCATGTATACAATGTATAGTGATTGTGATCAGATCAAAGTAACATATACATCATTTCAGATACATACCATTATTTGTGGTAGGAACATTCAAACTGCTACCATGTTCAAATGGGGAGCCTTTTCAATACAATGTAAAAACATACACACCTTAGAATTATAAAAGCAACTTACCAATTATTACCACAGGTAAAGTCACTGATGAATCTTCAAGTAAAGAAGTTTCTTCAACCAATGGCATCCCTTTAACTTTCGGCCCCAAATTATCGCCAAAATATTGCACTAAAGAATTAAAAATCTCTCCTTCAGTTTCAGTGTCACTATAGTCTCTTTAAAAAGAGAAAAAGTAAAAGTATAGTTAATTTAGGTTTTATAAAACCCATTTTTTCTCATATTTTGGCAATAAAATATCCAGCAGTTGCAAAATGCTTTTCATAGTATAACATTTAAGTCCACAAGTCTGAAGTGGCTATTTATCTCATATTAATATCTTATAAGCAAGTTAACTACTCAGTAAGCTTTTTTTCCAGGCTAGGGAAATAGCTTATTTGGTAAAGCACCTGCCTGATTCAGGACCTGAGTTCACTTACCAGAAACCACATAAAAAGGCTGAGAGCTGTATCAGATCCCTGGGGCTCAATGGCCAGCCAGTCTAGTCTAGTCTAGTTGACAAGCTCCAGGCCAGTGAGTGATCCCATCTAGAAAAATAGGTTGATGGCTTCTAAGATAGGCTGTCCTCTGACTCAGACACACAGACACAGCTTCTTCTGCTAACCAAACATACAGAATTATACTTGAGACTTTATAATTCTTTTGAGATGCCTAGGAAGGGCTAGTTTCCCCTTTTTTCCTTTTTTTTTTTTTTTCCTCAGCTAGCCACACACCTTTTAATTCCAATCCCAGCACTCAGGAGGCAGAGGCAAGCATATTTCTGAATTTAAGGGCAGACTGGTCTACAGAGCAAGTTCCAAGACAACCAGGGCTATACAGATAAACCATGTACAACAGAACTAGTCATAGTTTTTTGTTATTTTTATTTCATGTGGATGGTATGCTTGGTCTTGATGGAAATGGCAGTATTGACATCTTCAGGAACCACATCACCAAGGTATAGAGCAGGCAGCAAGTGACGCATTTACCAGGGTGAGGGTCACACTTCACCATCTGGTTTGGCTAGCTCAAACTACGCATTGGTGATCTCTACTCATGCTAGGCTTTCTCAACAGAAATAACAGGGGAATATGTGGTCAGAGGGAAATGGATTCAAGGGTAGGGCCCGCCCAGGTTCTTATAGAATTCTGTCATTTCAACATTCAGGGCCCCATCAAGTCTGAGGGAGGTGATGGGAGACAAAGTGTGACCTATCAACTTATTTAGGTTAATGTAGGCTGGGTGCTTGATGTCAAGGTTTCTAAAACAGATGTCATAAATGGCTTCATTGTCTCCCATGAAGGCACAATCAGTGCTCCAGGGTGTTGTGGGTGGTGAGGATGAAATTGCAACGCTCAACCACAGTAGTGGAAACTTAGGAAGCTGAGTAAATGGAGAACTTGGACTTCTTTTCATAATCAATAGAACTGCTCCATCAGCAAGGAGGTGAACCCAGAGCCAGTTCTTCTACTAAAGCTGTGGGAAACAAGAAGCCCTGAAGACCTGTGCACTGGTCAGACAGTTTGGAAATTCTGTCCAAGACAAGGTCAATGATCTCCTTACCAGTGGTGTAGTGGCCAGAGGCATAGTAATTGGCAGCATCTTCCTTGCTTGTGATGAGCTGCTCAGGGTAGAAGAGCTGGTGGTAGGTCCCAGTGCAAACTTCATAAATAACTATGGGTTCCAGGCCTACAAACACTGCTAGGGGCACATGCTTGCCAAAGCCTATCTCACTAGGTTTTAAAGGAGTCATCTCTTCCCTTAGTGGTCTTTTCACTTGGCATCTGGCCATCAGGTTGGATGCCCATATTCCAAGCTGTCTAGCTCCCAGCAGGCATTGCCGATCTGGACACCAGCCTGGCCAATGTGCATGGAAATGCACTCACACATGGTTGCTGATTTGCAGCTCAAAAGGATGGCAGAGGTGAAGAGGAGGTGTTACTTTTTACAGCCTGACTCTTAAGCAGTTGATGTAAGAGAATCTGCCATTTACAGTCCTCTCACATAGCAAAAGTAGATAACAGGTTAGCATGGCTGTTAAAGGTAGCCCACTCTCACATGAAGGCCTGTCCCCAGGAGTGTGTTTATGTTCAGTCTACCCCATTCAGGACAATTCCACCTACACCTCTGTAGTTAGAGCCAGATACATCTGCTGCTTTCCTATTTCTGATTCTTAGCAACTACACTGAACCTGAGTATTTTTTCCCCTTGTTGACATATTTTTCTACAGGGTTTCATATAGCTCAGAATGGTCTCAACCTCAGTATGCAGCAGAGGCTGGCTATGAATTCTTGATCCACTTGTCTCTACTACTCAGGTACTGGAATTATAGGTGTGTAATGCCCAGTTCAGTCTAACAAGATTTATTGTCATCACTGTCATTATTATTATCATTGTTATTTACTTTTGCTGGGGGGGGGTGTAAATATGCCATGGTACTTGTGTAGAAGTCAGAGGACAGCCTAAGGGAGTCTTTCTCTCCTTCCACAATATGAGTCACAGGAATCGAACTTAGAGCATTAGGCTAAGCCATCTGTAACCTAAGTGTTTTATGCTCTTCATACTTCTCCAGTGTGTGCAAAGGAGAAACTCTATTTCTTTTGCAGGCTTCCAACCAGTTATTTTGGCTACCCAAACCCCATTTATATTACTGTTGTTGTAAAGGTCACAATTCTGTCTTAGGGGCTGCAGAACTTCCTTTTAGTGTTTTCCAGCCATCCTTACCTTAAACATTGAAGCTTCCGTAGATAAAACCTGAGAAATATTAAAATGGTGTTATGCTATGGTTTTGGTAACTGCAAAGACCACATATTCTCTCTCCTAACTGGATCCTAGCTTCTAATTTTAGTATGGACATTTATGTTGGAATACATGTAAAGGCCCGGAAACTAGAAGGAGACCCATGAGAGGGGAAGATAACTTTCAAGGGTGTGGGGCACACTAGAACAGGTAGCAGAGAAGTAGAAGGTGAATTACTGGAGGTGGAAACATTAAATTGGAAGAGGGAGCAGGGAGATGGAAGAGAGGCGAAAGAGGGTCAAACAAAACTAACAATGCATGGGAAAGCCATAAAGAAACATAATACTCAGTAAGATAATTTTAAAATAAAACTAAGAAATGGGGTGGGGCTGAAGAGAAGGCTGATAGCTCAGCAGCTAAGAGCTTGCTGTACAAACATGGGGACTGGAGTTTGGATTGCTACATCACGTGACAAACCCGGCACAGTCCCTGTTTGCTATAATCCCAGCATTGAGAGAGTAGAGACAGGAGGTATCACAGGAGCTTGGGGGCTGCTATAGCTTAGCCCCAAAGTACACATTCTAGGCTCAGCAAGACCCTGCCTCACAAAGAATGGTATATAGGAGGATGATATAGGAGGACACCCAATGCCCTCCCCTGACCTCCATGCACTCCTCCACCAACACACACAAACTTTAAAGAGGTTAAGTAGCACTACCCTATGGGGATAAATAAAGCTGTTCCTAGAACCCATAGGCTGATGAATGAAAATCCCAATGCCAAGATGTTGGCTATATCCCTACAAGCTAGTGGTCAAGAAGCCTCCAGGGGCCCCAAAATAATGCAAGTAATTAACACTGCTATTGACAATGCAACAGAACTAGAAGGTAAGACCTTACTGCTGAAGGTATCACATGCTCTGATTACAGAATAAACAATTCAAGTTGTAACTGGAAAAGACATTCCTCCACTGGTACAATCGTGGCAGATGTGTTCTGGGGGCAACAAACTGCTTTCCGGTTGAGATTGAGGCCTTCTATATAGAAGAGATTCACATCTGGCACTGTAAAGCTAGTAGAACACTCATGGCCGGAAAGGTCAAAGGACTAATGAGGAAGCTACCAAGTTTTCGGTTTTTGTTGTTGTTGCTAGAGGTGGCTTTCTTTTTTCTTTTTCCTTTTTCTTTTCCTTTTCCTTTCTTTCTTCCTTTCTTTCTTTCTTTTTGCTACATGAGTGAATATGACGTTCCTGTCAAACTGGCTCCTGAACAACTGCCTATGCCCATAGATCAATGCTGCTGCCAGCTTTGGTGAGAAAAGCTTCCTTTACAGTGGGTAGCAGCTACTGTAGAGACTTGAGGTAAGCGACTGGTGAGCTCAGTCAAGTCTGGGACATCTATATCACTCCCTCTAGGAGTCAGAACACACTGCTGAAAAGAGGGAGAACAGATATAAGAACCAGAGAATGGGCTGGTAATGCCACAGGCACTTGTGGATTCTGTCTGTACTTACACCAGCTCTGATTACCTGTGTAAGACTAGGTGTAGGGAGACACTATAACCACACCTCCTAAGGGCTGGCTACAGGAGTGCCCCACCACACCCGTCAGGGTGACGTGGTAAAGGTTTAAAGGGATAGCTAAGGCACTTGGTAGCTCTCTTTTTTTCTCTGCTGCTTTGGCTCGCTCTGGTTTCCTGTCGGTTGGCATTTACTTATTAAAGATAACCTGACCTTACGGGCTACGTATTAGTTCTTCACCATAATAACTAGGCACAACATCCTGCCATGGAAGGGAAGGGACTCACATGCCCCACCTCTTTCTCAGGATCTAAAGGCAGTTACTGTTGCTGAGCCAGGAGAAATACTTTCTTCAGTGGTATAGCCACTGGTGAAGTGTCAATCATCCGGTAAGTGGCCTTTCATCCATGCTTTTAATATCATATGCAACAGATGACTGCATAATTCATAGCCACACATATTTACTATATTTCTACCTAAGAATTTTCTGATTTAATTTCTGTGCAATGTGAGCAAGTAGGCAGTACATTCTTTTGTTTGTGCAGATCTTTGTGGCACTGACTGAATTACAACTGCTGAAACTAATGTCCATTTCCTGTTTTATGGGGCCCGCATCAAAGACTTATTAATTCATCAAAAATGAAATATTTCTGGGCTTTCAATTTCATTCCCCTGATTTATGATTATGTTTATACCATCAGCAAGTTTTCTTGATTATTGTTGCTTTGTAGTAATTTTGAAACCAATAAGGTGAGTCCTGAGTCCTCTAAGTTTGCCTTTTTAACCTTTGTGAGACTACTCTGGGTCCCTCTACTCCCCATGTACCAACTGGTGCAAAAAGAAAAAAGCAGTTTATCTTTATGATACTGCACTGATTTGCAGATCAGCCACAAGAGAATTACTTTAAGAATATGCAGGTTTTC